GAAAGTTAATCATGTGTTTATAATTTTTTTAAAAAATGATGCTGAATGTCTGGCTGAATGTCTGGCTGGCATACTCACTAGTCTATGCGTTTTGTTATTGTAACAGCGATGACAAACGTCCAGTAGAGCTCTGCTGGGACACTCTCCATGTTTACTTCTGTAACCATGAGGACAGAGGTCAGGTACAGCTGCTGCTGTAGGGGCACTGTTACAGAACATGCTCCTATTGACTGTATTAGAGGGTAGGGAAAAATGACCAACACATATCATGTTGGAGGACTTTACGTTGGAGGATTTTCCACAGATTGGTTGTCTGAACCTTCCTTGCCTAATGGTTTCCTCCCACAAGCACTGACAGTTTTGTTTTCCTCTGTTTAACTTCCAAGCAGCAACAACAGCATACCGTGTTAGTTATAAAAACTGTTGGCAAGCCCAAACTTTTAAGCAGGTTTGGGTACGCAGTTTGTTTTCAGTGTCCTGTTGGTGTACAGTATTGTTTTCTTGTATGTGTAACTACTGTATTGAATTGAATAACACCTTTAGGGATTATTGCATTATAAAGAAAAATCTAAAACTCTGTTTTCTACACTGCTATTTTTTATAGAGAGCAGAGATGTTACAGCTGGTAATAGCTGCAGCAAAATCATGTAAAACAAAAATATTTGTTTGGAAAGCAATTTATGACATTTAATTGGCAGAGGTGTAGTTCAGTTGATCAATTCTTGTACAGTAGCTGCAAAACGAGTAGCTTGCACTATGACAGTTATGTAGTCGATACTGTTTATAGGTAGTTGGAACTGGGATACAGTAACTGATCACATACAAGTTCTTCAGTTGACTGTGACATTGGACATCCTCAGCACACGTTGATTGCACAGGAATGGAATATCATGCTGATGTCTTCATTAGCTAGATGATAGCCTCTTTACTGCGGTGATCATTTGATTGTTAAGTGACTGAACTCAGGTACAGTACACCAACCTGCTGCTTTTAAGATTAGAATCTAACATAAAGTGTAGGCTCTCCACACAGAATGATATCACAATGCACTGTGTTTATGTCACTGAGTGTATTTGTTTCAGAGAGATGGAGGAAGACATAGATGATAGAGGCTGGGGATGTAGAGAGTGAGCTGTGTGGCTGGGGGCAGGGACTGGAAAGAGCGGTAGAGGGAGAGTTGTTGGGGGTAGGGATGCTGTAGATGAGAGCGAGAGAGAGAGAGGGAAGGAGGGAGTAGTCGGGGGTGGGGGTGATGGTGGGCCCACTAACGTAATATATTTATTTCTGTGTGTCTTTTGATTCACAGTGCTGTCGGCCTGATAGAAGAGATCATATTACTAGCCATAGAGGCAGGGAGTATATAAAAAAGGAAAGAGAAAAGAAACAGGGAGAGCGATAGGAAGTAGGAGAGGAACATATGATGCATAGGGGAAACTAAATGACAGAAAAGGAAGAAGGTAAAAGGAATGGAGTAGAGAGAGGTTGTGTGAAAAAGAGAAAACAGGGAGGTTTGTGAAGGGGAGAGACAGGGAGACATGCATGTCCCTCATCTGTTAATCTAAAGAGCTAACACCAGTAGTAGTCAACATTTTCCATTTTAATTAAATGGAGAAATTATCTGCACAATTACTGCTGAAAGTATCCATGATTAGGAACTAGTGTTGTCACAATAACGAAATTTCTAAATCGCGATATTTGATACCATTTTCAATACTACAGGGAAAAACTGACACCTGACTGAGGTGAAATAGTTAGGTATTTTATTTAAAAGACAAGTATAACAAGGCTATAACATGGCAACGAGGTATGACTTGGCATGCTTTTTCTTTTTTTTGACTTATCTACAATGTTACAACGGCGAATTATCCTAGATGTGACCTAAAGCTAAAAAAATTTAGGTGTACGTATGTTTGGTATTTCTATGCAGAAGCAACTCAGTTTATACACATCTTTCAAACTCTTACTCACCAAACGTTTTTTCTAATAGAATAAAGTATTAAGTGATTTCCTTCAATGGTCATAATCTCCAGACAGTTGTGCATTCATGAGAGCTTGCCTATCATCTACCGGTGCCATTGTAAAAGCGAAATTTTTCGACTACAGGCAGTTTTGTGGATATATTTCCCCCCCGCTGCTGCAATGTGACCAGATATAGAGATGTAGAGAAAAATACAGGGCCTGAGGTTACTGCATGTCCAGGAATGTTCATGTACAGGGACTCACTGTAACCAGGTCTGACCTTCTAGCAGCCAGCCTGTGAAGCCCCCGCAGCGGTGAATGATCAGTTCATCAAAGCTGGATTCCCCCAGAGCACAGTTCCTGTTTGTTTTGACTGCTTGAGGGCAGTGTGTTTGCCACATGTGATGGGTTGCTAGTTAACGATCCATGATGCTATTGTTGGCGCTACACTACCTGTTGCAATTAATTTCACTACTTTGGGACTGTATGTGGTTGTGTGGAGGAAGAAGCAGCGACCACTGGTTGGATTTACCGATCTAGGAGCTACTTGAAAGTGAGTGATGTTTCCACTACTCCATGGGACTTAACAGTACGTTTAATAAAACACCCACGTTGCATGTCTGTTAATGCCTTGTTTCTGTAATGTTAGAGAGAATTGTTGTAAGGCTGGAGAAGTTACTATGTCTGCATTGTACCAGTTAAAATATGGGGTTTCTCAATTATCTGCTTTGTTTAGAGTGTTACACATCTCTTTTCATCGCTACACATACTATTGTTTACTTATCTATGGGGGAGAAATTCAAGTTAATTAATGCCTTTGTGGTTCGTTGTGCTGTCCACTTTCGACACAACACTGGCAGCAGGAGTTGTGCATGTTCACAAACTATTCTCTCGTTTCTAGGAAGAGGCTTTGTGGATTTATCATTCTGAAATAATTACAGACTATTTGTAGTTATGGCGGGTGCCAAGATAATCTAGAGGTACCCAAGATCAAACATTAAATGGCTGGAAATGAGCAAAATGAGCAGCCAGGGGTTGTTTAAACTGGGTCACTGTGAACCAGCCATTCTCAATGG